CAAGTGGCCAGTGTAGACAGCTGGCAAGTTTTTCCGCAAAAGCGGATGATTTTGCGGAAAAACTTGCCAGTCTAGACACAGCCCTAGTGAAATAGTTTTTCCTAATATCCAACCTGGACCTCTCCCACCACAACTTGAGACCATTGCTCCTTGTTCTGCCATCTGTCACCACTGAGAACAGCCTTTCTCCATCTTCTTTGGAACCTCCTTTCAGGAAGTTGAAGGCTGCTATCAAATCCCCCCTCACTTTTCACTTCTGCAGACTAAACAGATCCAGCTCCCTCAGCCTCTCCTCATAGGTCATGTGCTCCAGCCCCCTAATCATTTTGGTTGCCCTCCGCTGGACCCTCTTCAATGCGTCCACATCCTTTTTGTAGTGAAGGGCCCAGAAATGGACACAATACTCCAGATGTGGCCTCACCAGAGCTGAATAAAGGGGAATAATCACATCTCTAGAACTGCTGGTAATGCTCTTCTTAATGCAACGTAATATGCCATTCGCCTTCTTGGCTACAAGGGCACACTGTTGACTCATATCTAGCTTCTCATCCACTGTAACCCCCTGGTCCTTTTCTGCAGAACTACTACTTAGCTGGTTGGTCCCCAGCCTGTAACAATGCTTGGGATTCTTCCATCCCAAGTGGAGGACTCTGCACTTGTCCTTGTTGAACCTCATCAGATTTTTTGTGGCCCAATCCTCCAATTTGTCTAAGTCACTCTGGACCCTATCTTTACCCTCAAGCACATCTGCCTCTCCCCCTAGCTTAGTGTCATCTGCAAACTTGCTGAGGGTGCAATCCATCCCCTCATTCAGGTCATTAAATAAAGATATTGAACAAAACCAGTCCTAGAACTGAACCTTGGGGCACTCCCTAGAAACCGACCGCCATCCTGACATCAAACCGATGATCACTACGCGCTGGACCCGGCCTTTTAGCCATCTTTCTATCCATCTTCCCGTCCATTTATCCAATCCACATTTCCTTAACTTGCTGACAAGAATATTGTGGGAGACCATATCAAAAGCCTTGATACAGTCAAGGTTTATCACATCCACTGACTTTCCCATGTCCACCGAGCCAGTTATCTCATCATAGAAGCTAATCAGATTGGTCAGGCATGACTTGCCCTTTGTGAATCCATGCTGACTATTCCTAATCACTTTCCTCTCTTCCAAGTGCCTCAAAATGGATTCCTTAAGGATCCCTTTCATGACTTTTCCAAGAACTGCGGTAAGATTGACCAACCTCTAGTTCCAGGATCGTCCTCCTTCCCTTTTTTTTTGAAGATGGGCACTACATTTGCCTTTTTCCAATCATCCGGGATCTCTCCGGATCTCCATGACTTTTCGAAGATAATGGCCAAAGGCTCCTCAATGACATTTGCCAACTCCCTCAGTGCCCTCGGATACATTAAGTGCAGACCCATGGATTTATGTACGTTTAGCTTTTCTAAATAGTTCCTAACCTGTTCTTTCCCCACCTAGGGCTGTCCTCCTTCGTCCCATATTGCATCACTTAGCGCATTAGGCTGGGAGCAGACCTTGTCCGTGAATACAGAGGCAAAGAAAGCATTGAGTACTTCAGCTTTCCCCGCATCATCTGTTACTAGGTTACCTCCTTCATCCAGTAGAGTCCCACGCCCTCTCTGATCACCTTCTTCTTGTTAACATGCCTGTAGAAACCTTTCTTGTTATCCTTCACATCCTTTGCCAGTTGCAATTCCAATTTTGCTTTTGCCTTCCTGATAACCCTCTGGCACATTCCTAAATTGCAAATAGGGATGTAAAATCTTGATTAAATCAGTTAACTGACTAAGGGATTCCTAACATTTAACTGGTTAACTGATTAAGCAGGATTCCAAGTGGGGTAGTGCTCCAGCCTGGATGGAGCAGCCCCCAGTCTATGGGGCTCCCATTCCCCACCCCATGTAGAGCTGGATGCTCCAAGGGAACCGGTTAACTGTTACTTAAGGAATGGGTTACTCATTCACATTTGCACAAGAAAAGGTGACTAAAAACTGCCCCAACATAACTCCTACATGAAAAAAGGCTTCAGGTGCTTTAGAAACAAAGAGGAACATCTTCTCTTAAAGGCCAGGTCTTGGAGGCATGAGATCCAAGATCTGTTCTTCGCTGTGATTTAGCAAAATTAAGAGAAGTGACTTGCCAAGCTTGTAAAATGGAGATTTTAAGTGGGACCTGAAACCTTTTCCTGGCTCTATATCCCTGAACTAGATAGTTATTTCCTCCCACCCCCCTCTAGGACATGGGGGTAATGGTGCTTCACT